CGCAATTTTCACTCGCAAATTGCGAGGGGGCGAGTGGAAATTCTGAGGCCTGTATATATATATATATATATATATAGTTTAAAGTGACATTAAACCCTTGTTTTTTTTATTTTAAATCAGCACTGTATATGCTAATGTATTTCATTTTTAATTTATTTATTTTTTAAATTGCACCATTTATTTCCAGCAACTTTCACCTCCTGCTTATGGGTGTCTCCTTTGCCTAGCAGGTTGCAAAGGTGACACCCATGCATGCATGCTCCTGGCCAGGACCCGAGACGAGCTGTCTGCGTCCACTGTCACACACAGCTTTCGACAAGCCACGCCTGTGCCAGCAGCAGGAAAGTGTTCCAGGATGCAGTAAAGCTGGACTTGGAAAAAGTAAAGTAACCCACTAGTTGGCAGAGGTGTGTAAATCACAACAGGGGCTGAACAAAGTTACAAGTACTTTGGCAGATAAAACAATTACTAACTGTGCATTTTACCTGCATATTAGGTGATTTACCTGGAGTTCTACTTTTCAAGGTAAAGTGACAGGTACTCTTTAAAGAAGGACACCCCACCCCCTGATACTCATCTTTGCCGCACTCTCCTACTTTTGTGATGTTCTGTTGGAGCCCTTGGGTATGGAGGAGCATGTGACCTCCTGCGAGGATGCACTGTTTGGGCCCAAATGGCCAATCAACAACCTCCAAATACTGTCATGTGATGGGGAAGAAGTTAACCCTGTGTAAACTCCAACACTATCTGACATAGGGTCAGTACTCAGCCGAGAGGTAGGTAGCTCATGAAAGGTATGGGTGGGTAGGAGGTTCTTCTTATACGAGGAGTTATTTTAATTGACAAGGTGACAGAGTATCCTTAAAGTAAGCCCCAGAACCATACATTTATATTATGCAGCTTCTCAGTCCTTAGATAGGGTGGAAACATTAGTTTTCTTTTTTCAGGCTAGTGTTCCTTTATTTTCACCTGATATTTCACCTGAAAAGCTCACTCGTCCTTCTGTATCTATGGAGAAGCAGCATGGTCACCCTAGGACAGGACTGCAGAACACCATCCTTTTTATCTTTATAACATTATTGGGGGGGGGGGTGTTCTGTAGTTCTCAAAGAAAGCTGGGAACAATGCTTAATGATAACATTCAGCAGAGGCAGACAGCACAGGAAGTTAGAAACTCACAAGAATTATTACAGGATCAACTTGTATTTGTTTTTACGCTTATCAAACAGATATAACTAAATGTTTTCAATGGTATATTCAACAGACCAGAAGGGAGCATATAAGAAAAGTTAATTGTTATGGTTTCTATGTTTCTATACACTTTAGGTTCAAGAAAACATTTTGCCTACAAAAGAACCCTTGCACATATAATTTAGTATTTGCAAACAGAAAGCTTTTTTTTTTTTTTTTTTACTGAGGCTGCAAGTGTCTAAGCTAATGCTATAATAAAATAATCATTTCACCCTGGGCACAACCATGTTGAAGGTTTATTTAGAGTAACATGGCACAAAACAATGTCAATAGGTCCAACTCGCTTTGTCTGTGTTTTGCATAAATGGTGCCGAATCTAGTGATTTTCCATTGTAGATTGCTCATGGGCAGCATAAATGGAAAAGGTAAAAAGGATTTAGTGGCTGCTACACCTCAGCCTGCTCCACAACACCATGATCTTGCCTCATATGTGACATATTCACTTTAAGTGCACTTGTCTTGTTGTGCTACTCAGAACACCCTAGATGCAATGAACACATCCTATGTACAATATACATTATATGCACTGAATAATGTAACATGAACACGTGATCTCCTATTATGTGCCCTGAATCAGTAGGGGTCCCACTTGTGGTTTATTTTTTCCTGCCTTTTATTTGAATAAATCCTTTCTGCCCATGGTTAGCTATGGTATAGCAGAATTGTATACTTCTTCAGTAATATATATATACGCACACACACTGTAACTGTATTCACATAATTGTTTGCCATTGATTTTGACTAATATGGTATAGCATTTTAAGTACACAGTTTCTCTGTTTTGAACAACACACATCACATTCTCTGCATTCAACTTAAAGGATTTCTAAACCCTAACGTTTTTTTTGCATATATCTACTGCTAGCAACCAGTAGATATATGCATAAAGTTTTTTTTTTCTAAACGCTTTAAAGGCGGTTTAAACCTACCCGTCTTCGCCGTGTGCTCCTGTCCGAAAATCCACAAATGCTCGGGCGGCCGCAAAGCATCTTGGGGCGGGCGCATGCGCAGTTCAGATTTTCGGCCGGGAGATGAGGAGAGACACAAGGTAAGTCTATAGACGCGTGCACCAGCATGCAGGCACCGTGGGACAGGAAGTGCCTGCAAGGACAGAGGAGTCAGCGCTGGATCGGAGACCCGCAGCAGCGCTGGAGAGAAGGTTGAAAATGACAGGAAAGAAGATCGGATTAAGAAACATTATTTAAGGTAAGTGCTTTAATTTACATTGGGGGGAGGGACAAAAGTTTTTGACTTTAATGTCACTTTAAAGGGGTCTGTTTATAAACAATTCACAGGGCCCTTCACTCTGCTAATATCTGTGATCATTTTGTTCAGTGTGAATAGTGACAAACACAAACGTTCTTAATATACTTTTTTGGGGGGGTTGAATGTATTGTTCTGTAATACTGCATTATGGTCACTAGATGGCGCTGATGAGCATATGAAATAAACATTTATTTATGATGTGACAGTGCATCAGAGGTGCAGAGTACAGGGAAAAAAATACTGATAAGAGACCTTTGCTTTTCTGCCTTTTGCGTAGGTGTGCAGCAGAACTGTTTCACTGTGCAAAACTGACATTTTTACCTGTTATGAGGCAGCAATCATTTACTATTCCACAAAGACTGTTTTTGGAGGGTTTTTATTACCATTAGGGGCCACTCTATTCCTATTAACTTGCCAGCAATGGATTTAGACTATCATAAAATGACCGCCACAATTTACCTCTGTGGCTACCAAAAAGGGAGACACGTGCAAGACTGAAGAGTGTGTGATACAAAAGAGAGGGATGTTCTGCAAGGCAGTCTGGGAAGGGAGAATTTTCTGGAAGACGGTAGCTAAGGTAGGGAGACTGGATTCTTGAGTCGGATTCCTGTTTATTTAGTGTCTGGAGGATAACGCAGGGAAGAAGGAGTGGATTCCACCTGTGTTTTCTGCATGGACTGAACAGAACTGACTGCTACTTTGTAATTGCCACATGGTCTCTGCACAAACGCGCCTTGTGCTCCAGTCACTGTCTCTCAGATTATCACTACTCTGTTGCAATACACAACTGCCATATCTACATTTAATTGTTCATATCATCTGGAGATAGTGTGGTAGACTGTAAAGGTGCCCATACAGTGCACGATTCTCGTACGAGAATCGCGGGAAATCCCGCGATCGTACGAGAATCGTGCAGTGTATGGAAGGCGTGTGACCGTTTCTACTGTACGGTCGCACGTCTTCCATCGAACAAGCAGGCTGGAAAACCCGCCGGGAATCGTACGATTCTCGGCGAGTTAGTGGCCTGCTGGTTCGACAACTGCCGAACGGGCCGGTGTGCGCATGCGCACACTGCCCGTTTGCAGTCATCGCAAGCCCGCCCCTCATTGCAGTCATCGCAAGGCCGCCCCTCATTGCAGTCATCGCAAAGCCCGCCCCTCAGGGGGGCGGGCTTGCGATGATCGCAAGTACGATCTGCCCGTCCAAGATGGGCAGATTGTACGTTTTTTAAGTACTTTACAACCCTCGCAAGACAAAAGTCTTGCGAGGGTTGTAAAGTGTATGGGCACCTTTAGGCCTCATACACATGGGCCATAGAATGTAAATTGCTGGAGTATTTCCAGGGTACACAGCTATGGTGTACAGCCGTCCGTAGTAGTGAATGCGGCTGTACATGGGTTTAAAATGCTATTTGTATATATTGTATATATTGCTATTTTTATATGTGGTGGTACACATATATATTGTTATATATATTGTTATTTTGTACAGATATATATTAACATATTTACAAAGAGTTTTCTTTAACTCTTGGCGCTAATGGCGGCCAGCTGAACGATCCACTTGCTGTTGCATAATCAAAGTTTTCAACAGTTTTTCACACAGATTTGAGGGGCTGCTCATCCAAGGCTCTGGGGCTTCCACCACGAACATAGAAAACAAAAGGGAACAGAGCGCCACCTCCGTGTGTAAAATCGTTGATTAAAATAAATAAAACAAAGGATAAATGTATTCACAAGCAAACGTTTTCATCAGGCTTAACAACAAACAAGAGGCCACACTGTCTGTTAACCCAACATGGTATCGCCGCGACTATGTGCCACGGTTGCCTCTGGTCACATCACCGTCCACCGGCCGCAATCAGCCAAGATTTTGCTTGTGAGTACATATATCCCTTGTTTTATTTATTTTAATCAACAATTTTACACACGGAGGTGGTGCTCTGTTCCCTTTTGTTAACATATACTGTATAAAGTTTATGTTGTGGCTATTTACATAGAGGGTACATATATAAGGATTAATATAATAATCCATAAATCTAATTAATATAAATGTATTTTAAGGTTCTAAAGTGCTGTTTGGATAAAACACATTGAGGGGAATTTATCAAAACTGGAGCAGACAAAATCAGCTTCTCTCTTCAGTTTGTTCAGTTAAGATTTAAAAATTAAAGAGAGAAGCTGCTCCAGATTTTGTTTGCTCCAGTTTTGATAAATTCCCCCCATTGTTTATTTTGACTGAAGTATTAGCACTGGCTTTTTCTTTTTTTAACTAATTTTCTGTATTTCAATCTTTCTTCCCTTAAGGGCTCGTTCACATTATTATTATTATTATTATTATAATACAGGATTTATATAGCGCCAATAGTTTGCACAGCGCTTTACAATATAAGGAAGACATTACAATTACAATACAATTTAAGACAAGATATTAAGGAAGGCCCTGCCCGTGAGGGCTTACAATCTAAAAGGGAGGGGCAAGTGATACATGAGGATGGAGCTGCGCGGGGATGATTGTTTGAGAATGTGGTAGTTCAGTGGTTAGGTTGAGGTGGGATAGGCTTCCCTGAAGAGATGAGTCTTAAGGGATCGCCTAAAGGCAGTCAGTGTGGGAGATAGACGTACAGGTTGGGGTAGAGAGTTCCATAGAATGGGAGACATGCGCATTAACCTTCATTGATATTCATAAATCAACACAGGCTTGTTTGCAATGTGCCATGTTCATACCATACAGGTGTGGTGATGTGTACTGTGTAAAAATGCAGCATACCTGCATGTATGTAATTTTATACAGCTCAACTTATGGCACTGTATGTCACGGCAATGCGCCCTGGTACATAGAGTTGAATGAAGAGTCATTTTGTGACACTTTAATACATTTTAAAAAGGTACACAATGCAATGTGTTGTATAAATGCATCGTAGGTGCCCCCATCGCACTCCTAACCGCTGATTCCCAAACAAGTCCATGGTGGGTGCTATGGTGACAAGAGGATGGTGCAGCATAAACAACAATAAAAAGAAGAGTTACCGACACTTCAACTGTGATTCCAATACATCCTCTATTGCTGTATGTTCACGTTTTCACGAAGCAAACAAAGTTTTACGGCCAAATAGGGTCCTTTTATCAGGCAAACAATGTGATCACATTGTTTGCCTGATGAAGGGACCCTATGTGGCCCCAAAACATAATTTGCTTTGTGATACAATGTATCGCACCAGCCTTCACTGCCCCATACAGCGTATACCAGAGCTCATGCTTTTTGACATGCAGGCTGGTGTTAATGGGCCCCTAGTCCATCAGAATGTCACTAGGACATAACTCTGTCACAGGCTAACATTATAAATAGGGATGCACCGATATCGATACTAGTATCGGTGCAGATACCAAGTATTTGGGCTCGTACTTGCCCAAATGCTGCGACATATACCCTCAATACTGGAACCTCTGGTCAGAAGATTTCCCCTGTTCCTCTGTTTTAGCAGGCTGGCTAGTGTGTTCTGGCAGCTCCGGCGTTGTGCATCCTATGGCACACTGCCAGAGCTGTCTCTGTTTACATTTTCTTTCTTTTACTTTATGTGGTAGTGTACACTTCATTCAGTACAGCAGTGTGGCATCTAGTGCACTGCAGAAAAATTAGTGATATTTTCAGCAGAGCTGCCCACTGCCCATCACACCTGCATTTTAGTGTAAATAGGACACATAGAAAACTTGTTTGCAGTGACCTGTGTTGATCTGGTGAGATAATATGCAGGTCTCTGCAGTATGTGTGAATGGGCCATCACTCACTATATTGTATTTATGGAGGAGCATCTTTGTCACCCTAGGATTACAAAACCTTTCCTCAGCTCGATGACATATTGGAGAGGTGTTCTGTAGTCCACACAGAGAGCTTAAAGGATGAACAGGTAGGTTTTTTTAAATCCATTTATCAAACTTATAAAAAAGGAGGATTTGGACTATTTTCCCCGATAGTGCTCTTTAGGGTCACAAGAGGACATATACTAGCGTCCTCCCATGACCCAAAGCTCAGTATATAGTGGGTTATTTGCCCGCGATATACTGAGAGCAGCGCAGCCGGGACTGATCCCAACAATACTGTCGAGATCCAACCAGCTGCGTGTGACAGTGACAGCTGGCTCTGCCTATCTAGAGGCAGAGCCAGCTGTGCCCGCCCTCTCCCCGTCCATTCCTCCACTCAGCGCTGGAGGATCGGAGAGGGGAGGGGGGAATCCCTGCGGGGACCTGTGACTGACAGTCATCGCTCACTGCAGGGAGACAATAGGGAACTGAGCGGATAGGTGCATTTTTCTGCTCACTTCCCAACCAATAGAGCTGACGTGTGACAGTTTCATTGTCACAGGTCGGCTCTAACTATGAAGATGAGTGAAAATCACTCATCTCATAGTTCTCCTTTAACGTTAATGTTTGGTGACATGCTGCAAAACAATAGTGTCATTGTCTAGAACCCGAGTCATTATCATATGACTTACTTCATATTCCATATTCTAGAGCTTGGAGTACCAGTCAAACCTGTTGTGACGTGTTTTGGAGTATTCTGCATTGCTTTTGGGTGTCTGCATTGCTCTGAACTTTATAAATAAATAAAAATCCTATGTTTTTTGCATTTATCTAATTACAAGTATGTTAAAATATTCCTGATATATGAGTATATACATAGTAGTAAATGTCAGCAAAGATTTTAACTGCCTTTGTAAATTGCACCCCTTCTCCCCTTTTTAGCACTTTCCTTGCTCCACCTGGAAATGGGGACATTCAGTTCACCTAT